ATGAGCGGTGTTAGGCTGGCACTTCTGAAGAGGAGCCCCATGGCAGGGAAATGCCAAAGGAGCCAGAGGCCATGCTAGTGGGGCTGGAGGAATGAGGAACAGAATGAGGTCATGAGAGAGTATACAGGTGGCTTACAGAACTGTCAAATTTGTATCTACAGGCTGTAGTTTGAGGATGCGTGATTTATATAACCAAATTACTATATTTTACAAATGAGAGACATTTTAGGAAATATAACATTGAAACAGGATTTTCTCACTCAGGGCTGGACAGGGATCTCCCATTTTTCAGGTTCAGATCTCCTATCTCCAGGCACAAAGGTATTGCAGGCCATGCCCTCTGAGCCCTAGCAAGGTCATCAACAAAGCAGTCCCAAAAGTTTTAGATGGCTCCACCCTGACTAGGGAGTACACAACCTAATCCCTTCACCAGACAAAAACTGCGATAATAAGAAATGTATAAAACTAAAATATATGTCAATGGCAGAGAACCATACTCTGTAAAATAATTTAAGGAGATTTATTTTGAGCCAAATTTGAGGACCGTGACCTGGAACCTCACCCAAGAAGCCTTGAGCAAGTGGACTTGTGGTGGTGGGATTATGATTTGGTTTTATATATTTTAGGGAGACAGGAATTACGGGTGAGGTCATAAATCAATACATGGAAAACATACATTAGTTTGGCCCACAAAGGTGGGACATCTGGAAGGGGGTGCCTAACGGTTATACAGGTGGGTTTAAAGATTCTTTAGCTCACAAATGGCTGAAAGTGAAAAGGAAGGCTTAAGATAAAGGGTCTTTTAATCAGAGAGGAAGTACTGGGCTCACTCAGCTTTGTTATGTATATCGAGGACCTGCAGGTTTGTCTTGCATAGCCTTCAGCTTATTAAGGAGTCACAAATGATGTCTCTAAAAAGGAGAGGGGAGCAGGAAGCGACAGGTGGAGGCAGGTGTAATCTCTTTTCTCATGGCTAGCAAGTCAGTTTCAGGAATCTTCTTAGTCAACAGGGGTCCAGTCCATCAACGGAGGAGTCTTAAGATTTTATTTTAGTTCACATATACAAAGGTTTGGGTAATGTTGGATGCATTATAAACAGAGTAGTTTTTAAAGTAAATTTTTATTCAGTTATGACACCATACGGAAGGGTGCATAAATGATGTTTAATGAATTGTCATAAAATGAACACACTGATGTAACCACCACCCACATTGAGAAACAGAAAATAACCAAGACCCCCTACCCCATCCAGAACCTCTTGTGCTGTTAGTGAAAGAGGATACCTGAGAACGGTGAGGTCTAGGAGAACAGGTCTTCTCAAGGAGACTACAGGATACAACTGTGGGATCCCCTCCATGGTGACTCAGCTTTTGGAAATTTGCAAACTTAACCTTCCCCAAACTTGGAAACTTCCAACTTCTGTGAACTCCTGTAATTGTGTAGGGGCTGGAATAGCATCTCCCGCTTGATTCAAACTGGCCAATGAGAAGAGTATCCGTGGGGTGGAACTTTTTGACTATAGATAAAAAGTAAAAGACCAAGCCAGTCCGGGAGCGCAGCCATTTGGAATTCTTCTATGCTGTATGCTCCCAGCTGGTGAATAAAGCCCTTCCTCTTATAAACGTGGTATTTGGGTGCTCTTTCTCTCAGTTGGGCCTCGTCTTCCTACAACATTAGTTTCAAAATTCAAAATAAGGATTCACTTGCTATTGTTATAAAAACTGCATTCTACAGTCAAATTCCCAGGGTAATACATTCCTATAGTAATACACTCTACTTCCTAGGGCAGCGATTTTCTACAAGCGGACTAGGGCCTAAGAGTGTTACACACTTGGCTGACAGTGCCAAACTCTAATTACCCGTCTCTTTATGAAGTGTGCCAACAGAAAAAGTGCGTTCCCATTTTTAACTAACTGCTATTGTTCCAGGAAAAGCTGGTTTTTACAAGGAGGATAAAGCAGCCCTCGCCTGTCCTTACGGCTCTCCCAGCCCAGAATGAAACCACCCCGAGCGCAGACTGCAGAGGAATTTTAAGTCCAGCGGCTAGAGCAGGTCTTGGCTAATCAGAGGCCAGGCTCCAGCCGCAGGCTTATCCAGGCAGTGTGATTGGTTGCTTCTCCGGGGCGGAAGAGACTCTTTGTTGCCACGCCCTGCGCCCTCCAGAGGGAGCCAATCGCTGGTGGGCTCCTGACGGGGCCAAACGCGCGCGGACCATTGAACATGGCGGAGGACGCAGCTTCTGCTGCTCCGAGCCCTCGGGGCCGTGCTGACGGGAGCGATGCTGACCCACCGGACGAGCAGGTGGCGGAAACGGAGGGAGAAGACCAGGAGCAATTCGAGTGCCAGGAACTGCTCGATTGCCAGGTGCAGCTGGGGACCCCTGAGGAAAGGGAGGACATGGGCCTGATGGCTGAGGCCGAGGCCGTGGCCACCGGCTGGATGCTCGATTTCCTCTGCCTCTCTCTTTGCCGAGCCTTCCGCGACGGCCGCTCTGAGGACTTCCAAAGGACCCGCGACAGCGCGGAGGGTGAGGGCGGGGTGCGCTCGGGCGGGAGCTGCGCGGGGGGCGGAGGCGCGAACCGCGGTGGGCGGCCGAGGCCTGGGCTCCCGCGCTGACCCCGGGCGGCCCGGGGCGAGGGGCTGGGGCGGCGGAGAGGTCGGAGGTTCCCGGATCCGCCTGCGCTGTGTTCGAATCCCGGTTCTGCCTGTTAGTGCCTTTGTTTTCCTCATATTCTGCTTTTCTCTGTGGTGAAATGAAAACTGAACTGATCCCAGTTTAGGGTTGATGCAAGGAGTTAAAGAGTTAACGTGATTAAAGAGTTAAAACTGCACCCAACCCAACACCCAGTTCGTTCTGTCTGCTTTGGCGCTGGGTTCGGTTCTT